GGGAATGGAGGTTATTCTGCCATTAAATCTGGGAGTTAACAATTGATTATTTTGATGCTTAAATTTAAACACTTTTTCTTATTAGTTTTCAGTGTATGGGGAATAATTTCTATATGCTGGCTCAAAAGCCATGTATACAGAACAAACAGCTTCACTTCAGCAGCATGAGGAAGTTTTCCCATTTTAGGGAGTTAGAGAGAATACATCAGGAAACTCAATCCTGGGCATTTTTTCCCCAGCCTTGCAAGCAAAGGCAGATATTGTGAATTGCCTTATTAGGAGGGGAGAGAATATATTTTCCCATCAGGTACAAAAACCCCCAAACATCCCCCCACAAAAAAAGCCCCCACAGATCAGCTTGTGCCTGGAGGACAAGTTCAATAACAGCAAAAGGCTTGCGGGACTATCCCAACAGTTTTCTTGTTCAGAGGGTTGGATTGCATCAGTTAATTACCTTCCCTCTCTCCACTTCCTTTTCAAAATTCAGTTTGCCAAACTGCAATAAAGAGCAAAGGATAAGATTTTTGTATCTCTAGAAGAGATTAGTTCAAGTACTCAAATGTTAATTCCACCTAAAGCTACCAGTTTAGATGAGAATGTATCCTTGACAAGACACTGGGAACGCTATAATACAGTACATTTCTCTTCTAACCATGCCAAACTTGGGTGCTTAAATTGAAGGCCAATATAATTTTTAAATGGGAACTGCAAAATATTTGGCTTAGCAGTCTTGCAAAGAGAAGCTCTTCAGTCCCGAAACAGAAACATTAGTAGACAATTCAGTCCTTAATGTCAAAAAAGTGTTGTCTGTAAAGTTCAGTTGATGACAGTTTGGTGATCAGCAGGGTCATTGGTGGGTTAAATGTGCACTCGCACTGCCCATGCTGGATCTCTTATGGCTTCAGTCACCTGGGCTGTCAAGACAGCTCCTTTCATCAGCACTATATTTACTTTAAAATACTGGCTCCAATTTACATTTGTTCTTTCATTCCATCCTAAAGTCAGTGCAGATTCCCACCTAACTGAACAAATATTAAAGTTCAAGGAGCATGGTACACAACACATTTATGTTGTAAGTCACTTTTGTAATATGCCACACATCTAGTTTGAGACTAACTCTCCATTTAATAAAAATAACCAATTGTTCTATATATGTACCTCACTAACCTATCTTATGCATTAGCTTTAAAAAAAAAGTTTAATTTTTGGTTGCAAGACTCCATTCTTTTTTCACTCTAATTCTGCGACTCTGAAAACTGATCAGGCTAATAAAATGAAATGTCTTTTCTATACATTTTCTCAACTACAGTTTGTAGAATTAATTGGAAATGTGTCTTAAGCCTTCATCCAGCAATTTTTTCTGCATTATCAGACCCTCCCTCCCAACTCATCAGGATTCCAAGTAGACATACTTGGAAAAGTTTACAAGATTAGGAACTTTAAACTGGGGAGGAGGTAGATTAAGTGTGTTCATGCCACTGTTTTGATTTTAGGTGGGTTTGGCAGCGGTATCCAGCTCAGATTAAATTAACAATACATGGTCAGTAAAGCAAGATAACTCCCCAAGTAAGTTCAAGATTTAACATTCAGGTTTAGGAGTAATGAAGTAATTACTAGCTGATGTGCAGTCCTGAAACTGTGATGCAGATAAAAGCTAATACATAGCCCAATTCAACCCCTACACTCTGATTCATAGGGGACAGGTGAGTTGATTTTGGTTTTAGTTACAAGAAGCCAAATGCCAGAAATACTCTGAATTTTTATTTAAAATAAAAAAGTCTCTAGCCTATGTGGTTGTGAAGATAATCTTAAAGATGTGAACAAAGTGCATAGGTGCTGGAACTGAGTGCTGGGGGTGTTGCTGCACCCCCTGGCTTGATGTTGTTTCCATTATATACATCATTTACAGTTTGTTTCAATAGCTTTCAGCACCTCCATTATTTAAAAAAAAAAAAAAAATTCCAGCACCCTTGACTAAGTGTAAACTAATGGTGTGGTTTTTGCCTGAATCTTTGGACAGCCTAAAATATAATTCAGAGGCATGTAAATTGTCCCTTCTCTATTGCAATGGGCTGTTGACTCAGAAGCCTAAGGATGACAAATGGGTTAACGGTACTTTAATTAGCAATGAAATAGTTATGATGCATAGTCTCCCTGGAGCGTACCCTGACAGCCCATTGCAGAAAGTAGTTGTATCCTTATCTCAGCCTCTCCTAATGGTCTTTTGGTTACTTCAGTGAGGCTTTTAGAGGTCTAGTTTATTTAACAAAAGGCCACAACCTGGTACAAGAGGAAGCCTTCACAGCGGGGTCATAATTAAGGCTACACAATTTTTTCACAGAGGAATTCATGACTTCCAGCAACCTCTGTGAATTCATCCCAGTCAACCAGGAGCTTCAAGGTCCCCCCTCGTGGCCGCTGGGGGCCCCTGGAGTTCCCAGCTGCTGTGGACAGCAGGGGTCCCTCCACAGCTCCTGGCTGCTGTGGGCGGCTCCTCTGTAGCCCTGGAGCTCCAAGCCCCCACAGGGCCCTGCAGCTAAAACCCAGAGCCCAAGCACCTCCCGTGAGGCAGAAGACCTGATTCCCTGGCACCCTCCACAGGGCAGAAGCTCTGAGCCCATGGGCAGAGTTGGGGAGCACGGGGGTGTTACCCACCCCCAAACTGCAGTCTAAGAGTAGGGCAGTCCTGTCACAGTCGGCTCTACACTCCCTGCCCCTTGGCCATGTCAAGGTGGGCAGCCAGAGCCGGGCAGTATGGGACAGTTGCTGCTGCTCTGGCTGGTACCATGGAGCAGACAACGGCGCTGTTCCCTCATCTCCTACTGCTGCAGTGGTTTGAAGCTGCTGCTCAGCTGCCAGCCTCCTTTGCTCATACAGCCGGTAAGAGCTGTTGGGCTGGGGACCAACTCCATGGCTGGCAGAGCCCTGGGGGAACAGGGACTACAGCCGCAGGGGAGGCACAACCCCTGGCTACCCCTCTTCCTGCACCCTGAACTACCCCCTCCTTGCAGCCCGAGCTACCCTCTCCCTGAACTATCCTCCCTGCCCACACAGCCCTTAGGTACCCCTCTCCCTAAACTGTTTTCAAACTTTTTGAGCTGAGCCCCCCACCTTTGAGTTATAATTTTTAGTTGCACCCCCCCACCACCCAGGGCTAGAGAGTGGGTGGCCTGCTGAGATGAGTTGGGGGCGGAGGTGGCTTGAGCCCTGCTGGCCCCTGCCCACCCAAAATAGAAGTTAAACTACACCTATGCCAGAGTCTCCCCCTCCCCCATCCATTGCTGGGCTCTGGAGGTTTTCTGGCATGTTGTAGGGGCCTCAGAAAGAAAAAGGTTGAGAATTCCTTGTGATGTTCCTCTGCTGTTATCTGGACCGGTTACCTGCTAGTTGACTCCAATCCTTGACTCTGGCAGCCAGCCTTACCCTGCTCTGCTGTGAGAACCCCCATTCCTGAGCTGTTCACACACAGCCTCTAGCATGTAAGCTGCTTGGATTTTGCAGTCGAATGACACTAGCCAATATCTCCGGTCCGAGACACGCAACCTCTATCTTGCGGTGTCCGGTTATGCCCGCTGGACACTACAAGCTTATATGAGTTCATCAAGTTAACAAAGAAGTTGATATGTACCAGGCTTGTTATCCCAAGGGGAGTCTCTGACACACTTCAAACCAAATGCACTGCTCAGGTAGAATAAACGAACAGATTTATGAACTACAAAAGATAGATTTTAAGTGATTATAAGTCAAAGCATAACAAGTCAGATTTGGTCAAATGAAATAAAAGCAAAATGTATTCTAAGCTGCTCTTAACATTTTCAGCGCCCTTACAAACTTAGATGCTTCTCACTACAGGGTGGCTGGTTATCCTTCAGCCAGGCTCTTCCCTTTGATCAGCGGTTCAGGCACTTGGTGGTGATGTCTGTAGATGGAGTTGGAAGAGAGAGGAAGAGCATGGCAAACGTGTCCCCCTTTTATCATGTTCTTTCTTCCCTCTTGGCTTTGCTTCCCCTCCTCCCCCTTCAAAGTCAAGTGAGCATTACCTCATTGTAGTCCCAAACTGGACAAGGGAAGGGGGGGTGTGACTCACTCAAGCGCCCAACAGATCCTTTGTTGCTGCCTAGGCCAGTGTCCTTCTTTCCTGTGAGCCTGGGCTGGGTTTGTCCCATACATGCCCTGATGAGGTGTGAACTGCCCCTCTGCTCCTGGAGAGTTTTGCCTGGCGTTGTTTTAAGCCCCGAGGACACATTTTTCAGCCTCATAACTATATACGTGAAATTACAACCTGTAACTTTACTATCACAACAATGGTCAGTGCATCATGAGCCTTCCGAAAACACCCGACATGACAAACTTTGCATTGGTACCACACAATCATAAGGATGAACATAGGGGTGCAGGATGTTCCCCGAGACACAGAGTGTCACACCCCTCCTCTAGGAGTTCATTTCCTGGGGCACTCGCTGACCAGCTCCCTGGAGCAGTCCCTCTCCTCAGGAGCTTCCTCTGCATTCTTCAGTGAGCCCTCATGGCCTGACCTCAGGCCCAGCTGTTCCTGAGCTGACTAACTGCTGCCCAGCCACCTAGGCACTAAGAAACTCGCAGGTGCCTGGGGGCTGGCTCATTCTCCTGTGGCAAGCCTAGCCCAGCTAGGCTGGGTGCCCGCTGCTAGGGGCCAGCTGCCTGTGCCAAGTACCCACAAGCATGACGAGTACTGTCAAACCCTGCTGAAAGGGGCGGGAGGTCCCAGGGCAGCCTTGCCCCATGGCAGAGCTGGCGCCTCCTGCTCCTTCCCCCCCCGCTAAGCAGCACTCTGGAAATGCCCAGGGGCCCGGCCCGGCCCTCTCTCGCTGCAGGGGGCAGGGCGCGTAGCCCCGGGGACGGACCTCGTCCCTGCCTTCTGGACCATGCAGCCCCTGGCGCCCCGCCAGCGCCTCGGGGTTTCACGGTAGCTCGCCGAGACGGGAGGAGGCGGCTGCGGCCAGGCTCTACAGCTCGGCCCGCGGAGCTCCGAGCCCCAGCCGGCAGCCACTTGGCACCGGGCGCTCCTTACCTGGAGCCCGCCCTGCTCCGCCCCCGGCAGGGAGCAGGCCCCGCCCCGGCTGAGCAGCCGCCCGGGCGAGGCGCGTGTGTGCGAGGGCAGCGGGCCGGGGTCTGGCGCGGCCGGGGGTGCCCGCCCCCCTCCCGGGTTTTCCAGTAGGCGCTCGCCCCTCTGCCTCCTCGCGCCGCGCTCCGGCCCCGAGCCGCAGACGGTCCCCAGCCCCTTGGGGGCTGGCGGGGAAGGGGCTTGGCAGCCCCGGCCGCTGCAAGGGGCGCTCGGAGAGCCGGGAGGCTGCCGCTAACCGGTGAGTGCTCAGGGCTGGGCCGCTGCGGGGCTGGGCCGGCGGCTCCCGGCGCCGCTGTGGGGGGCGCTCCCGGATCTGCCCAGCTCGCAGCCGCTCGGACTCTCTTCCCCGGGGCTGGGGCGGGCAGCTGGCGCCTGGGTGTGACGGATGGCGGCGGCCGCGGGGCTTTGGGACCGGTTCTGAGCGGGCAGGGTCGGTCCTGCTGGCCCCCCTCTCCCGCTGGGCCCCCCTCTCCCGCTGGGCCCGCTCCCTTCCAGAGCCCGGGCTGGCCGCTGTCACTGGCGGGGCGCTGGGTTTCCACCCGGGGCTCTCAGCCGGCTTAGCAACAACGGCGAGCCTGCCTCGGGCTTGCGGTTTGTGAGCACAGCTCGGCCAATCGCTGCCGTGGAAAACTTCACACCCAAGCGAGTCAGCCGTCACTTTATTTGTGTTTCACATGGGCTTTATGACAGGGGCAATCTGCCTGGCCAGGGAAGGGTTCGCTAGGGTTCGTTTTTACTAGTACTGTACTTTGCGTCTGAGTCCTGCAGCACCATTTAGCCTAGGATTGGGAAGTGCTCCCCACTCTCCCACCCCCCAATTCAGGTGGAATGTGTAAGTATTATTTCTGTTTTTTAGGGGGGTAAACTGAGGTACAGGTGCAGCAATTTGTCCGTGGTCAGAGTGAATTATTGTCAGATCAGGAAATAGAAGCACACAGGCCTTTGCTTTTAACAATCAGATCACACTGTGCCTTTCCCATTGACAGGCTTTAAACATTTAACAAAGTAATTCCCAGAAGATGGACTGTGTCAAACAGTGCAGTTATGTAGGATCCCTTTGCTTCTGGGATTGTTGAAATCACTTGGCCTTTGACCTCATGCTTCTCAGTGCATTCAAGGCATGTGGGCATCCCGTATAACCTTACACTCCATTACTCACAGATCTATCCATTTGTCTGCCATGTACAATTCACCATTCTTTTTATAGCCACTGTAGTAGCATATAATACATGGGAAAGCAGACAGCATTTACTTCAAAGAGAGAGATCAGATCTAAATTTTCTGGATTAATGAGACAGAAACTTTATTTAACATTCAAGAAACAAGAGTGTGAGTGAAAATCTGAAGGGCATCAGGTGTTCATTATTAAATGCTTTAAATCCAAAGTATAAACCAGATGTCCTATTTTTATGAGATGTTTGTATATATTATTACATTTACTACTCCTTTGGACCTGATAGTGCTTTACCTGGTCATAGTAATGTTAGCAGATTAACTGATTAATTGGGGTTTATAATAAATGCATTAGATTTTAAAATAAAGGAAAGCAAACAAAGAAAAACACCCCAAAATGTAAAACTTGTGATTAAAATTATGACAGCAGGTAAAGAACTCCCTTGAAAGTGTATGAAAACAGACGTTCAGACCAGAAAACAGAGAATACAAAAGTAGATGGAGGATGACCCAACTCTGGCTAGTCACCCTATCCAAATAATCAAGCCGCTTTGTGCAGGAAGTGGGTAGCACAAGGTCATCTACTTCCTATGTAGTTCTAGTAATGGCATCCAGATGTAATTGTAGATGTTCATTTTATAGTCTGGATGAAGGGAGTTGTCCCATTTGGCCCTGGTGAAGAGGCCAGTGCTTCATGTTTGGTATGGGTTTGCTCTTCCAGTTTATCAGCACAATTAGCTTAGCTACCAGTTCTGTCCACAGGAGCCATTCCCTCTCCTTCTCCTCCTTTGATCACTTTAAGTGGGTTAGATTTCCCAACACAACAATTACTGTGTTCTGTTTTGCAGCCAGTTCCTTCCCTTTAATGACATCCTTCCCAAAGTAGACAGTGATAGGGCACTTGGTGTTAGCCCGGCTTTATCAGAGCTGTGTCTTGCACACTTGGCATCTGGCATTCTATTCATTGGATAGAATGCATCCGATGAAGTGAGCTGTAGCTCACGAAAGCTTATGCTCAGATAAATTTGTTAGTCTCTAAGGTGCCACAAGTCCTCCTTTTCTTTATCCATAGGATGTTAACTGTAGGGAGTCCAGTAAATCCTGTGATCAGCTTATATGGGATGGATCCAGCATGTTGATCCAGGGAGCACATCTGATGATTTCCACCCCCTGCTGGCTCCAGATGGTGCATGCTTTGTCCCTCTCATTCTCTGCTGGATGGGTGCAGCAGAGATGAGAGGAGAGTCAATGAGTTGTGGATGGTGATTAGCTAGTGCAGCCTCTACAAGCTGCTTCAGGGGAAAGGTACAGGAACTGCAGGAGATGAGACTTCTCCTCCTGCACTGTTGGGTCTCTTTGGGAGAGAGAGTGTCACCTCCTATTAGTGGCAAAATGCAATCCTCTCCACCCAGTGGATTTATCCTCCTAGGACTTTTCCCCTGCCCATCTGTAGATGTGAAATAGGGGACAGGGAATGCTCCCTTTCACACAGGCATTGTGTCAGTTACATGGGTGCCATGGAAGGTATATTGACAGAGTTCCTGGAGAGAGAGAGAGAGAGGGAGGGAGGGAGGAGGAAAAAAAAAAAAAGAAAAGAAAGAAAGAAACGTGCTAATGTGAACAAAGGTTAAACCTATTAGGAAACCCCTCCATTTGACTGTAGAACCTTTCAGCTTGGAGAGGCTATGTGGTCAGCGATACCAGGTTGCTGGACTTTTGGTAGCATCACACATTCTGTGCAAATTTTTTAATGAGCATATTTGCATATCCACTATAAACTTTGACTTAGTCACACTCCCAAGCAGTGTGGGGAGGTGGAGCTTAGCAGCTGCATCTGGAATGGGTGGGAGGGTGTTCGGGGGCTCTTCGGGGAAGATGTTGGATAGCCCAGTACTGGCACTGGGTCCCCCTCAACTTCTGTCCCACCATTCCTTCTGTTACAGCTGTCCCCACTCAGATCCAGTTGGGGGAACAGTGAGAGGGAAGGGGGAGCAGCTGTGGCCCCAGGTGGCAGGGAGATGGTACTGCAGAGTAATCCCTGCTATTTGTGTGTGGCGGAGTTGCCAAATCCATGTCACATGAGTTGCAGGACACTAGGCAGCTCTGTTTCCCTGTGCAAGTCAGTGGAAGAGCACATCTCTCAGTATGTGATACCTCTGTCAAAATGTGATGAATTTTGTGTGATGTGAGGTCATGCAATAATTAGGGCTGTCAATTAAGCACAGTTAACTCACACAATTAACTCAAATTAATTGTGATTAATTGCACTTATAACAATAGAATACCAACAGAAATTTATTAAATATTTTTGATGTTTTTCTACGTTTTCAATATTGATTTCAACTACAACACAGAATACAAAGTGTACAGTGCTCACTTTATATTATTATTTCTTATTACAAATATTTGCACTGTAAAAATGGTAAACAAAAGAAATAGTATTTTTCAATTCACCTCATACAAGTACTGTAGTGCAATCTCTTTATTGTGACAGTGTAACTTACAAATGCAGATTTTTTCCTGGTTACATAACTGCACTCAACAACAAAACAGAGTAAAACTTTAGAGCCTACAAGTCCACTAAGTCCTATTTCTTGTGTAGCCAACCACTAAGACAAACAGGTTTGTTTACATTGACAGGAGATACTGCTGCCTGCTTTTTATTTACAATGTCACCTGAAAGCGAGAACTGGCCTTCTCATGGGATTTTTGTAGCCGGTGTTGCAAAGTATTTACATGCCAGATATGCTGAACATTCGTATGCCCCTTCCATGCCACCATTCCAGAGGACATGCTTCTATGCTGATGATGCTAGTTTTATTTGAAAAAAAAAGCATCAATTAAATTTGTGACTGTACTTCTTGGGGGGAGAATTGTAGGTCTCCTGCTCTGTTTTACCCACATTCTGCATATATTTCATGTAATAGCAGTCTCGGATGATGACCCAGCACATGTTCATTTTAAGAACACTTTCACAGAAGATTTGACAAAACACAAAGAAGATACCAATGTGAGATTTCTAAAAATAGCTAAAGCACTCGACCCAAGGTTTAAGAATCTGAAGTGCCGTCCAAAATCTGAGAGGGATGAGGTGTGGAGCACGCTTTCAGAAGTCTTAAAAGAGCAACACTCTGATGCAGAAACTACAGAACCCAAACCATCAAAAAAGAAAATGAACCTTCTGCTGGTGGCATCTGACTCACATGAGGAAAATGAACATGTGTCAGTCCACACTGCTTTGGATCATTATCAAGCAGAACCCATCATCAGCATGGACGCATGTCCTCTGGAATGGTGGTTGAAGCATGGAGGGACATATGAATCCTTAGTGCCCCTGGCATGTAAATATCTTGCAACGTCAGCTACAACAGTGACCTGCCAATGCCTGTTGTCGCTTTCAGGTGACATTGTAAACAGGAAGCAGGCAGCATTATCTCTGGCAAATTGTAACCAGCCTTGTTTGTCTGAGCAATAGGCTGACCAAGAAGTAGGATTGAGTGGACTTTTAGGCTCTAAAGTTTTACGTTGTTTTATTTTTGATTGCAGTTTTTTTTACATAATTCTACATTTGTAAGTTCAACTTTCATGATAAAGAGATTGCACTACAGTACTTATATGAGGTGAATTGAATTTTTTGTTTGTTTTTTATAGTGCAAATATTTGTAATAAAAATAAAGTGAGCACTATACACTTTGTATTCTGTGTTGTAACTGAAATTAATATATTTGAAAATGTAGTAAACATCCACAAATATTTAAAATAAATGGTAATGTATTGTTTAACAGCATGATTAATCGTGATTAATTTTTTTTAAATCACGCGATTAATTGCTTGATAGCCCTAGTAATAATTCATTTCTGGTTTGTCATCTTCCCTTCCTACTTTCATCACTTTGGTCTTGGACAATCCAGAAATGAAGGATAATGCTGTCCTCTGAGCGACACTAAAGCAGGGTGCTTTACCTGGCACAGCAGAGTGGAATTGATACGCATCATGCAATTCTCATCCACTTAATTCTGCTGCTTTATTTGGGGCAGAGGCTATCCTTTCCTTTTTTCCTTTTCT